TAGAATAGTGCATTGGTTTTAAATTTCGATGAACGGTGTTGCCATGGTTACTAAAAATAGAATTTTCTGTGAAATTCCTTTAAAACACTTCTCCTTCTACAGTTTTGGTCCGATTTCAATATAACTTGGCACACAAGTAACCTACACTAAGATACATAGAATAGTGCATCGGTTTTCGATTTCGATGAGCGGTGTTGCCTTGGTTACTAAAAATAGAATTTTCTGTGAAATTCCTTAAAAACGCTACTCCTTCTACAGTTTTTTTCTGATTTCAAAATAAGTTGGCACACAAGTAGACTACACAAAGATACATAAAATAGTGCAGTGGTTTTTGATAAATACAAACCAGTAGAGCTACAGTCTCGACAGAGACTTTTGGTTTAATTCTAAAAATACCCTGAAGGCCCCTCTATAAAATATATACAATCAAAATGGCAGCAATGGGAGATACGCAAAACGTATGACGGTATGTTACAGGCTCATCCGACAGTGACTGAAAAAAGTTTTACAAGATGTAAGGGGTTAAAAGGTTAATGTGAATATAAAAATATAGTTACAAGGTAGTATGTAGTAAAACCATGACTAGTACATGTACAATTTATACATGATGCACTAGGCCTATTAAATCAATGCTTGTTCGATTCAATGTGTAGAACTTTTCCACTATGCTATACTCTATTGAAAATCTATTTTTTTAATGCAGCACATTTCTTTTTACATGTTCAATGACGTTTAGTTTTATTGGCTTTGGTTGATGCTGATTACAAATTCATATATATAGATTGTGGTTGTAATGGAAGAGTACGTGATGGTGGTGTGTTTGCAAATTCAAGACTATACCAAGCTTTGGAATCAAATAATCTTCATATTCCACCTAAAAACCTTTACCACAGAGAAATACACCTGTTCCGTATGACATTGTTGGGGATGAAGATTTTCCCTTAAAGTCTTATATAATGAAACCATACTCCTTCAAATATCTGATTCAATACAAAAGAATTTTTAACTACAGGCTGTCAAGAGCACGGCGAATAGTTGAAAATGTTTTTGGAATTTTAACAAGTAGATTTGGGGTATTTAAAAAGGATATTCCCCTAGAATTAGAAAAACTGAAAGGAATTGATTTGGCATGCTGTGCACTGCATAACTTTCTGAGAACAAGGAAATCAGCCCAGGGATGATTGATGAGGAGGACACTGAGAATGGGACAATATTATGGGATTTGGAGGCAAGAAATGGGCACAGATCTACCCGGTCTTATTAGACAATGTGGGAATCGATCGAGAAATGATGTACAAGACATAAGAGAAGAATTTTGTAACTATTGTAATACAAATGGTCAGGTTTCTTGGCTATGGGAATTGCTGTAACCTACAAGATGGGACTGTGATCCTTTGGGTACAATTTGTGTTTTCAAAAAGGCATCCAGGGACTTGAAATGAACCCGTGAACTGGTGTAGAGTTCGTCTGTGCCAGAGCCACTCTTCCTGGACTTGTTTATTTTGTTCAATTCCTTTGATTAATTGATTGTATATTGTTAAACGTCCCTCTTGAGAATTTGTCGATTCCTTAGAATAGTATCCTCTAAGATAGGATATTTCGGCTTGTATTTGATTGACTGTTAATAAAAAATAAATACATTTACAAGTTTAAGTTGCTAAATATTTATTGTATACTCACCAATTAACAAAAAGTATGATTCATAAAGTTGAATAACATGTGACAGTTCGCTACAGAAAACAAAAACACTTATCATTACATTCCAGACCTTCATTTTCCTCTCTCAGTTTTTCTAATATATTGCTTAATGCTCTTTGTCTGCAGTCTTTTTTTTAATAAGATGGAGATGAAACATTCCATAGGTCTGGTTCCTCATGAAATAACTCAGTCATTTTTGTTGCTCAGTACTTAATTTTAATTCATCAATTATCTTCTTACCGCCATTTTCTTTGTTTTAGTTTAACATGTGTATATGCACCTTATCTTATATTAAGTTTATCAGTGATGCTGATTGGTCAGTTACGTCTGCAAAACAGACTGAAATAGAGCAAGTTCTATTCTGTCTGCTTGCATGTCTGCAGTGCTTAAACCCTAGTTTACACAGTGTTCTTTTGCAGCTCGTCCTCAAAGCAGCTGCAAAAGCAGAGTGTGTAAACCGGGCTTATGAGTGCTTTTGCAGTTATTCAGGTTGCATAATATATATTAAAACAGGATAAAACAGTAGATGGTAAGGCGGATGCAGTACGTGCATGTACTGACAATCTTTGTCTACTTTGAAATGTAAGTACATCATTATCCTACAGAAGAAGAGAACTATTGTTTTTACGGTTCTTGGTCTTCACTCATCATTTGCCTTTCCCTGCATTCCCAGTCTTTCTAAGTACCTAGCGACGGAGGATAAAAGAGTGATAACTCTAGATTTTTAACCTAAATTTGTATGCGAAATAGGTTGGGTTTTTTTCGGGTGGTCTCGGATTACGTCCTTGCACACTGTTATAGATGAAAAGTAGTTCCAAATGTTCTTGAAATCGATTAACTACATATTGGTGCATTTGTATATCTAAAAGAAATGCTTTATCTCAGATTTTTAGCGGGAATATTTTTCCAAAGAAAAATTCTAACAAATCTTAACCAGAAGTCTCTGTCGAGACTGTAGCTCTACTGGTATGTACTTATCAAAAACCATTGCACTATTTCATGTATCTTTGTGTAGTCTACTTGTGTGCCAACTTATTTGGAAACCAAACTAGAACTGTAGAAGGAGTAGCGTTTTTAAGGAATTTCACAGAAAAATCTATTTTTAGTAACCATGGTAACACCGTTCATCGAAATCAAAAACCGATGCACTATTCTATGTATCTTAGTGTAGGTTACTTGTGCGCCAAGTTCTATTGAAATCAGACCTAAACTGTAGAAGGAGTAGCGTTTTTAAGGAATTTCACAGAAAATATTCTATTTATAGTAACCATTGCAACATCGTTCAACGAAATTAAAAACCGATGCACTATTCTATGTATCTTAGTGTAGCCTACTTGTGTGCCAAGTTATATTGAAATCAGACAAAAACTGTAGACTTAGTGTAGTCTACTTGTGTGCCAAGTTATATTGAAATCAGACCAAAACTGTAGAAGGAGTAGTGTTTTAAAGGAATTTCACAAAAAATTCTATTTTTAGTAACCAGGGCAACACCGTTCATCTAAATCAAAAGCCGATGCACTATTCTATGTATCTAAGTGTAGTCTACTTGTGTGCCAAGTAATACTGAAATCAAACAAAAACTGTAGAAGGAGTAGCGTTTTAAGGAATTTTACAGAAAATTTTCTATTTTTAGTAACCGTGGCAACAACGTTCATTGAAATCAAAAACCGATGCACTATTCTATGTATCTTAGTGTAGTCTACTTGTGTGCCAAGTTATACTGAAATCAGACCAAAACTGTAGAAGGAGTAGCGTTTTAAAGGAATTCCACAGAAAATTCTATTTTTAGTAACCATGGCAACACCGTTCATCGAAATAAAAAAACCATGCACTATTCTATGTATTTTAATGTAGTCTACTTGTGTGCCAAGTTATATGGAAATCAGACCGAAACTGTAGAAGGAGTAGTGTTTTTAAGAAATTTCACAGAAAATTCTATTTTTAGTAACCATGGCAACACCGTTCATCCAAATCTAAAACCGATGCACTATTCTATGTATCTAAGTGTAGTCTACTTGTGTGCCAAGTTATACTGAAATCAAACTAAAATTGTAGGAGGAGTAGCATTTTGAAAAATTGTTTACAGACGGACAGACAGACAGACAGACGGACGGACGCCGGACGCATTACTATCGCATAAGCTCTTCTGGTCTCTGACCAGTAGAGCTAAAAAACTACATTAGTTAAACTTGTGATTTAAAAATAGGCCTACCAGACAAACATCGTATCATTTCGACTATCATATAACATGTATATTAACGCATGCAAAATTTTGATTTGAAATACGAAAATATTTGACGATATCAACGTAAACATATAAAAAAGTTTACAAAACATGTATCGCTTAAGTACTGCATGCAGTGTAGATTTCTATAAATTTACCTTGTATACAAGTTAATGTCTCTTTTCTTTTTTTAAAAATAGGCCTTCAAGTATAATTTAAAACGCAGTACAAACCTTAGATCATGCACACTGCCTGTCCTTTTATATCGATTCAGGAACCGCCTTATACATGTACTCTGTCGCGTGGGTTTGAATTGATAGTTGCTCTAACGAATTTTTTTTCGATTTTCACAGTCGATTTTCCTTCTTCATGATAATCAATAATAGGGTTTCTAGTAGACAACGACAATCTCCTTTCACCTTGCCTGGAAGCCATTTTCAAAATGAAAAGGGTTGTGAGTGCCGAATGGACGCTAAACGGTTCTTACACGAAAATCGCACGGTTCTTAAACGAAACCCACAAGTAGATCAAATTTAGAAAGAGAATATGCATTTCTGCTAAATTTAGAAAGAGAAAATGCATTTCTACTTTGTAACCAATCGTTTATCCCATCCCACAGGAATCACTAACCTTGGGGTCACATATTTCAAAATATTATCAATTTATTACATCATAAATTGTTTATTACTGAAATGCCAAATTTAAGTTTCAAAGCATGATTTTTTCAGAATATGTCCTCTCCTCCTCACCCTGATACTCTGGCCAAGGGGCCATAATATTAACCATTTAGCTAGATACGCCTTTCTTCATCAAAAATATGTACTTAGATCATTGGCCTGATTCCCAGTAGCCCCGCCCTAACACCAGAATTTCTAACATAGGACATTAAAATTCACAAATCTCAAAGAAGCATATTTCCTCCTCATAACTTTATACATTTTTTAATTGTTTACTACCCAGGTACGAAAAGAAAATTTTCAAAGAAATAATTTAATTTCACTTTATAATCTGTTTAGCCCCACCCTAGCACCCTGACCATAAGGCCATGCATTTCACAATTTCGAAGACAGGGTTTTTTAGGTCTCAAAACCAAGGGTCTGGGCCTTTCCATTTGGGAAAAATAGCGACATTTGGATGAAATTGGGAAAAACGTCATACCTTACATTTCTCTGAATAATTTTAAATAAAACATAATTTCATAACAATGTGCTAGGTATTTATTAACTGTTTTACAGATACTTCAGTCAAACTGCATTTTTCTGTCTTTTGCAGATATAAATGTGTCTACAATATTTCTTATTAAATTTTCACTCATTTCAGCAGGACCTTCATGGCAGATTCTCATAATAGCATCTAATGATGCAGTTTTTAGCCTATTTCTCAAAGGGGTACATAGTCCATTCATAACTCATAAGACTAAAAGATCTCTCTACAGCTGCAGTAGAAGATGGTATTAGCAGAGAGAGTAAAAGTAATTGGAACATGTTTGGACATGTATTCTGTAGAACAGGGTCCTTCGCCATCTCCTTGAACACAGTCTCTGATGTTGTGTGGCCTCTCTGCCTGTTAATTATAAAATAAACAAAAAACTTTAAGAATATTTGTTTCTCTCAAACATGATCAGGTCTGAGGACAAATGTTATAATTTGTAAAATGAAATCAAATAAAGAATTGTTAACTTAAACAAATTAAAATTCCATTGATTGATATACAATTTGTGTCTTGAACATTCAAATAACATTCAAGAATATTTAAAAAAAAATTAATACATTTATTTTATTCAAATTCATATATGAAATAAAGAATCAGATTAATATGTACCTTGTGTCTGTTAAATGTTCATAGTATGATAAAAAGAAGAAACTTCAAAGGTCCATTGCAATCAGAATTATTTCATGCATCTCAAAAACTAACTGTAATTAACAAAATGAATACACAGATCACAGAAATCTCTTAAGAATAAATTAAAAAGGTTTTAAAAACTTGGTGTTAGTATTAAAACAGTTTATGAAAATGTAATTGGCTATTGCAAATACCCAACCCTGAAATTTATTATAAAGCATGCATATGAAAAAACTTACTTTAATATGTATAACTGGGTTCTGAAGCTTAAATCTTCTGCTCTGGTGATGTCAGCTGGAATGTCACTTTCGCAGTATTGGCGGCGACCTTGGAATTCATCTGTTTTAGGTCTTCCATAGAATTCTGCCAAACTATGAATATCCTCCAGTCCTAGAAAATTCAAATTACACCATATTTTAAAACATTAACTGAAAAAATCTTTTAGTATCATGATATTTGATTTCAATAGAGTGTTTAACTGTATACCCTTTTATGACAGTAATTTAAAATAAAATACAAAAATTTAATTACTATGCCCTAGTCAGTGCTAGCAGCTTCTGGAATGGAGTCTGGAAGATTTCTAATATCTAATGACCCAAAAGCTTTGAGCACTGGAGAACACACAAAGGCATCCTCAACTTCTGCAATGAGTTTGTAGATGAAAGGTATTCCTGTACGTTCAAGGAAATGCTGTGGAGTTATGTCCACAAAACCCCTTCTCCTCATGGCTAGATTTGTTCTGTCTTATATTTCATTGAAAAATGTGTCTGCTTTGGAAAACTTTGTTGTTTCATCATTGTTCTTTAGGGAATCAATGAGTGATTGCAGTTGATCAGTAGTCCGTTTCAAATGAAACGGCAAATATGTAAAGTTAACATCAGATCCCTGTAAATATTGACTAAGTATATGCAGTGGCCTCAAAACATCACACAGCAACAAGATCATTGCAACTAATGGTTTCTGAAGAAGTCCTTCTATAATGCCATAAATTTCATGGTCCTTCTTTTCATTGTAAATGTCATCAAGTACATCCAACACTTGAACAAACCTATCACTCAACCTTGTGCATGCTGTTAAATGTGACAGCCATCTGGTAGTTGCTGCCCTGATGAAAGTAAGAGGTTTCAATCCATATGTTTGTTGTATGTCATTTAACATAGAAAACTTTTGTGGTGAATATTCAAAAAGTTTCCATACTGACAATAGAATGCTGTCAACTTCAATCAACAAAGGATATTCTTTCATTAGGTGTTTCAAACACAAGGCGAGTCTATGGTTCCTGCAGTTTATGTAGATACAATGGGGTGACAGGTGTCTGATTCTTCTCTGTAAACCTAAGAAAATCATATAATTTTAATGTAACATTGAAACTCAAAAGTAATTTGGGGTTGGAATTTTATTTTATGATAATTTACAAGAGAAAATAATCGCTGTCTATTGATTCCTATTCTTATTCAAATGAAAATATTTACTGTTATCAAGAACCAGTAAAATTTATACTATTAAACTTATGAATAAATGATAATTTAATCTATTTCCTCTATAATATTATTCAGTCATCATATTAATTATCTTACACAAATTTATAAAATGTAACCAGATATTTTCATAGTCTATAATTACCTGTCACTTCCCCACTCATTGTATTTGTTCCCTCAAAACCAAGAAACCTAACATTTGTGAGATCAACATTTTTGGCCATGCAGAACTGCTCAATGGCTGTCAGCAAGCTTAAAGCATCTGTTTTTTCACATGTATCAGTCGCATGTAGTGCTCTTTCACCTCGTTATTGTGTAACCACATGTACATGATTGAAAATTGTTCCCTATTGGCCTCATCTGTACTCTCATCTGCCAATAAGGCAAAGAACTTCTCTTTTCAGCATTTCTCAGAGAGGATAAAAGTTCTTCCTCAATAGGTATGCTTATGGCTTCTATAATATCGGTAACTGAAGTAGATGACAAATAAGTTACTGATGGACTTTTATCAAGATAAGAGGACAGTTCTTCAACACCAAGGTCTGCAATGAATCGAACAAGTTCTTCAAAGTTTATACTAAGTGCCAATCTTTACCTTATCATAAAGTATGCACACCGTACCAATTTTTCAAAATATTCTCTGGTAGATACTTTTTTTTCATTTCATCGCAAGCAGCTGCAGAAAACTTGGACCACATAGATTGAACCATCTCGCCTGCCTCGGTTGTACAGAAATTCGTGATTTAAAAAAAATGGCATACAACAATAGAGTATAATGGAACAAGGCACAATGTCATATTACCGGAATCTCCTGATTTCAGGAAATGTTCAAGGAAAAGAGAAAAATGCCTACAAACCTAAAATACGAGGGCCATTCAAAGAGCTCGTAGACTTTTGTCCTAACTTTTATATTTAACGTCATATTATATCCAAATTTGGTAAAAATATTTTAACAACAGATGCAAATAAATTGAGTAAAAAAATTGGAATGTATCTTCATATTTATTAAAATTACCAGGGATTTAGAACATCAAAAATAAGGTCATGGAGCACCGCCATAATTGAGTATTTTTTTTAATTAACAGCTATACCTCTGATAAATAGAACTGAAACGAAATAAAATTTACATGTTTAAATAAAGTTTTGTTGTATTAATTAAATGAAATCAGGTTATGTAATATCCTGCTCCATTTAAAAGGTATCAGTTTCTAAATACATGAGGACTTGATTGAAAAAGTCAAAAAACCATGACGTAGGAGGACGTCAAGGAGCAGCAAGTAGCAATAAAATAAGACTTTACATTCAGGAAACTTCTTCTACAAGCTTAAAAAATCCTTTTAATCCAGGATCTGTATGAAAAATAATCTGTGTATTTGTATTGAATTAAAAATACAATTTTTGAGTGGAAGCGAGTATGAATCAGACGATGGATTGTCTGTAAAGAAACAGGTTAAAGTTAAAAATATTGTTAAAAGAGTTAGGAACGTCACTGAACGTGATGTGCGCTTCAATGTTGCAGAATTGATAGAGTTGCATAGTGATTTAAAGAATTTGAAAAAAACAACATATTCAAGCTATATTTGTACAATTGTTAGCAAACTAGGTGTTAAGTGTTGTGGATATGTGTTTTGAATGGAGAAGACACTTCAAAACTGTGTTTGAACTTAAAAAAAAAATTGGTATTCTTTTGACAAACTCTCTATGTTGTTGTTAACGTTACAATATTGGTTAACCGTGCTCCGTGGTAACATAACATGCTGCTTTAAATGTTGGCTAGCTCTATTATATTTATTCAAATGGAATGAAACTTCACACCTCGACGAAATAAAACTCCGTGGGGATCCGGGTTAGAATAGGCCCTCAGTACCCCCTTGCTTGTCGTAAAAGGCGACTAAATGGGGCGGTCCTTCGGATGATACAGTATAAACCAAGGCCCCATGTCACAGCAGGTGTGGCACGATAAAGATCCCTCCCTGCTCAAAGGCCCTGAGTGCCTAGCATAGGCCTAAAATTGCAGCCCTTCACCGGCAATGGTGACGTCTCCATATCAGTGAAATATTCTGAAGACGGACGTTAAACAATATACAATCAATCAATCTTGAAACTCCTATACCTTATATAGGCAATTAATGACAAAGGTTCAATTTTCTCAATCACCAATGCAGGTCAAGGACATGAGGTCAACATAGTTAGTATACAAAGGAAGGTTTCAAAGAAGAAATACACCTGTGAAATATGAAAGAGCTAGTGCTAATAACTGTCCTATTATTATGGCAATTGTTTTTAAAGAAGGTCAAACTTTTAAGTCAAGGTCAAAAATATTTATTCCCAATGAAAGGTCTTATTAAATTGAAAGAACCTGGAAAGTATGAAAGCCCTAGTACTACATGTAACTGTTTAAGGTAAATTAGTGTATTTTTAGGCTATCACATCATAAAATGGGTAGAGCCAATTTATGCATAAAATGGCCTAATCTCTCACCAGAACGCGTTTTACGCTCCGCTCCAACACCTCTGTTATTGTCTAAATTACAAGAATCTTGTAAAACGAAAATAAGTTATAGATTAAGACCAACTTGGTTATTATTTAAAATGACTTTTTTCCCTGAAATCTGGATATATATTAAAATAGCTTCAATATACGGCAATATTTTGTTCAGTTTATTTACACACATTTTCATTTTGAAATCAAGGAGATAAAGTTAGAATTGGCTAAACATACAAAACAATGAATGTTTTCATTGGACTTCATAGCATATGCAAGGCAATTGTTTAAGTGTTTAATAGTCTTGGGTCCAGGAATCTGATACCTTTTGCTTTTCTTCAATTCATATAATCTGTAAAAAAATTTTGGTATGGCAAAAGTCAGCACATTTTTGGATGGAAGGATCAAAGTCAGATTTAGGTTTAGCATCATTGTCAATAATCAAATTTTTGACATGTCAGTTTTTTCCTTTCAGTTCATGAAGCATTTGGATTGCCATATCTGATGCCATGGCTTTTGCTTACTCGACAATCGTGGTCATTATTTTTCTCATCCTGTTCACATGATCTACATTTTCACACCGCACAGAATAGGATATTACCATGCCGGTATTATGTCCTTTCATGCTTGCATGTCCTGTGAGAAATATGTGTTTTTATATTACTACACATATTTGATTGTATTGCTTGAAATATGTTGTTACATTAACAATATGTCCTTATGATAGTGTTATATCAAAAGTAGTGCATGTACCTGACACACTAGTATAATGTTTTCCACTGCCTCTAGTTTGCCACCCAGCATCAAAAGAAGCTGTGTAATTTTCTGGATCTTCACATCTATTGTACAGAACCTTATATTAAAACTATGCTGATAAATTTTAGAAATCATTTTAAAAAATTATGCTGGTATACCTTTCTTTTTCATCTTTGATTGCAGCATCACAAGTGCCATCTGCAACAGCTTCAAATATATGACCTGTTTCTCTTTCTCTTCTTTTTAAAGTAGTTGGAGACATATATGGGAGATTCAGAGCAGCAAACACATTGTTTATGATGGTTTCCCCAAGACCACAAAACAATATTGCTATATAGAAATAGATTTATAAATGCATGTACCAATGTCCACATAAAAAAGAGTATGCACAATATAAAGGTATAATATAGGCATAAACAGAACTATTTTGATATTGTATACAAAATTAAGATTCTTCATAAATATAGAGAAATATATATTGTACCTGCTCCTAACTTAGTAATCACATCCCACATGGTCCCTCCATGTTTTTTTCCTGTTGGGACGTAATTGATTCTATTACACATTTTATGTGAAGACTACTTCCTACAAAATATAACATTGATCAATCTGATAAAAGCTATCGCATAGAGAATCTGATAACTCCCAATTAAAGGTCATGTTCTGGTGAACTTTTAATTGACCAATCAAATCGCGACTTATTTTGCAATGTCTGGAATTTCGGAAGTTTTGTCATTTCTGTTAGTATAGATGACATGCCCGATGTATTCCGATAAACGTAAACATGGCGACTTCCACACCTCGGAAGACATGTGTCTTATCGGACACTTGTATCCTCTGCGGATTTTCGTTTATACAGATTGAAAGAAAGGAAAATGGTGAGGAAAAAGTTCACAAGTTTTTCGAGACGAAGCTAAGACTAAACACCGAAAGAAAAGATAGCATAAAACAACTAACAGGCCTGACAGACATTGCAGATGTCACGACAAATGCAGGTGTGTGTAAAAAGTGTTATCGATCAGTTGAATCTATAATGAAAACCGAATCCAAAAATGAGCAAATAAAACAGAGGTTTCGCGAGGTGGCACAGAGAACAATACAAACACTCACGTTACAGCTGCTTTCCCCTCGGAGAAAGTCCATAACTAAACGGATGCTTAGGAGCCCAGCCTTGCCATCTTCAAAAATACAGACTTTCGACGTATCCTACCGCAAGCTCGTGCAAATATCACCATTCTCAGATTTGACAAATAGAACAGATTTGCATAAAACAGAGGTAATAATAGATCACGATATCATATTATATTTACAGTGTATATAGATAGAGAAAAAAAAAATAATTAATCCGAAATTCCTCTGTGATAGTGTAAGAAAGGGGTTCGAATCTAAGGTATTTCGGATTAAGAAATAATGCATGTCTATTGTTTTTTATGCTATAAACAAGTACTGAACATAAACAAAAACACACACATTTTGACATACATGACAACATAAGTCATTATGTGGATATCCCTGGTGTACTTGATCTTCCATAAAAACCTGATTGATATTTTCATTTCAGTAGCTATTTCAGTCCTGTAAATTAAAAGGTGTTTAATTAAAATATGAAGAATGAACTTTCACTCATATTGAAAAGATGTTTGTACTTTGATCAGAAACTCACAGCAATTAAACTCGTTATTTCTGCTAATTTGCACTTCAGCTACACTATATTAACATTATATTTACTTTGAATTGACAGCTGCCTCTTACATATCAACCACCTAGTTGTAGTTCATTTACTGGTATCCCTATTGCACCAAAGGAGAAACAAGGTATGCTTAAAAAGTTTGAGGGTGTGAATTCTATGAGTTTGAATGAATAAATTTGGCCACCTTTCTTTACTCACATACTTCATGTACTTAATCATATTAATTGTCACTGTGTGGTGAATTCATCATATAATAACTAAGCATTGTTTTGCCATGGAATACAATCACATCTTGTATTTTGTAAATGTCAATTAGAAATAAAATATGTTAGAAAATTCTTTTACTACTGCAAGTCACCTGACTTTGGATTTTTCTTCCTAGATATTACATGTAGTACGTCTAGTATGAAAATACAAGGATCTAAGCGATCTCTAGATTTTGGGATTTCAAATAAAGAACTCGATGACATTCATACAACATCATTAGATGGGTCAATTGAGGTTAACTTAGAAAAAGAATTGTTCATGAAGTTTCTAAAGTTACTACTAACTTGTTGATTGTTACACATGTTTACTTAACATGATTATTTCCAATTTACCAGTTGACTCTTATATATATTCACAGCATTTTTAGATTTCCATTAATTATACATTGATTATACAATTGAACATGTAGTTACAAGTTGGTGTATAAATTTAGTATGCAATATATTAAGTTCACTAGTTTTTATTGCTTTTTTGCATTGATTATACAATTGTTCATGTAGATACTAGTTGTTGTAAAATTTAGCATGTGATATATTATGTTCACCAGTTTTATTGCTTTTTATTTTTGCATGTGCATGTTGCTGTTTTTTTTCAGATTTGAATTCAGACCTGGATTTGTAAATAAACTCAACTGTGATTTAAGGTATATGTAAAAAGATTTGAACCTATTACATGATTATATCACTAATTTTTATCAAATGGAAGGAAAACAGACTATTTGAGATGGACAGAAAGATATTACAAACTGTCAACCGGAAATGAAAATGCTTTGACATCAAAGAAGTAAAAAAATGAATTAGTATGAGCTTATGAATATGATCATGAAATATTTGTGTGTTTTGACATATATTCTAATTTACTTTCAGCTCAGCATATACTATCCAAGTGGTCGAAAAAGTCGTTTCATAATTGATGAGAATGAGAAAAAGATCTGCAAGATTGTTTTTAGAGGAAAAGAAGTGGATCGAGGACTGAAAGACTTTTTAAAGACTACTAACCCCAACATATTAGTTGAGGGGTCATTATCAGTTTTAGGTAAGATGTGAACATGTCTGCATTGCTCACTTGGGAAATAAAATAACCAGAAATAACAAATTTGATACATCAAGGCTTTGAGTATATATTCATATTAATTAAGTTGAAATTCAGCATGTTTTGGTTTGATTTTGTCTGTTAATAAATACAACTTATGTTTATAATGCATATGTACTACTTTCTGCCATGTGATTAGATCAAGATAAAAAATTCTAATTAATATATGAAATCATGATCAGATTATACTTGTTTACAGTTTTAATTTGCATCTTTTGCAGGTGATGAATGCAAAAATCTGTGCAAGAGAAATTCTGGTAGTGTTCTTCAAGATAAATCAAGCAGCAATGTTTTAGAATTTACATGGGACAGTATGAAAATAAGAGCACCAAATGTCTTAAAGACAGTATCAGCGATGGAATCAGATGTCCCGTTACAAGTGAGTGAGAAACCATTTCAGTATGTCATGTATTCTGTGTCACAAATCCTGCATGGAAGATCCCAAGAAATGTCCTTAGTTCAGTACTTGTCTGGATTGGTGTTGATGCACTCTTAAGGTAATAATTGTAGTGTACTAATGAAAATGTGTCTACTAGCAAAATAAATGCAATTTTATAATTTTGGAGCAGAATGACTTAATATACAATGAAGCAAATTTATGTTTTAATTTATTATATTAATCCTTCTGTTCTACAATCACTTGCATAATTTTGTACATCATTGATATAAATTGATTTATAAAACTGTTATACCATATATCAGAGTACCATAATCTTTGGAATCTGATAGAAATATGAATTTTGCTGTACTGTATTGTTTTTATAAATTAAATAAAAAGTCACTTTATATTAGTTATTTTGGCATGTTCATTGCATTGATTTGATATGAGATTTGCCAATTTTTCAGGACATTGAGAGAATTGCTAAATTTGGAGCAAGTGTTCATCCAGAAACACTTAAAAGAAAGCTGAATTCTTGGGATGCAATTTTAGATGAGGAATTACTCAAGTACAAAGAAGAATGGAGTCGAGGTGGGCAAACAAATACCAACTCATAGGGGACAATTGGGACAGAAATATCATTCCTTCTTACAGAACGTCTTAAGACAAAACATTGTCCTTGCACTTGTTTCAGGTCATTGGAGTCCTTGACAGAGTGAATTGTGTGGTGGACACAGACTCACAGCTCATTGATATTTCAGACCTGAATCCTGTGAATTTCATACCCTCCAGTGAGGATCAGGATATTCTTTTCCATGAGCTTACTTTCCTTGTTGTAAGTTCAGTCATTGCTAATATTTACCAGATGAATGACAGTTTTGTATCAATTTACCCTAAGCATTTGCAACACAAATACAGCAATTACTCAGGAATAAAAACAGAACAGGTAAGACTTTATGGATGGATTATATGTATTTTATGTCATATTTTCTATAGAAAAGCATAACTTTAATACATGTACATGTTCTTTGCACAGTATCCTTTGGGACTATTTGATTGCAAGGAAATGGTCACTCAGGATGTTATCAGACTACTAAAAGAGCTATCAAAGAAGTATGTACCCACAGATGATGCAGGAGAAATTGTGGAAGAAATGAACCCAGTATGATAAGAACTCCGGGTTTCCGGTATAATGGACATAACATCCACTACTGGTTACTTTGTTTCTGTGATGGGTCCTTACATCGCCAAAATCAATGATGCAACCATTCTCAACCATGTCATGAAGACAAACATTGAGGACATCTGCGACTGGGTCAGAGAGGTCCCCGTACTATCTCAAACAGATGGGTATCAAGGCAAAGATGCCGTCCTTCATGGTTAAAGGTGAAAAACAAAATGGGGACTGAAAATGCCAACACCAGTAGATTAGTGACAAAGGTATAACACAATGTTAGATATGATGTGCTTTGTTCTTTTAAACAAAAGGTCACCTGAGTGTTATGTATCAAGTACAACTTTCCAACAAATGAATTTGGTTGGTGTATGAATTATGAAATTAACAATTTTTGAAAGAGGCACCATTGTCATCATAACTATACACTTAACATACATAGATCATCAGCATATTACCAAGGAGCAGAGGAGAAGATTATCAAAGAATTAATGCAGTTTTACTATGTAATCATTATAGAGTCCCACCCTAACACTAGAACCCTGACCTTGCGGCCATGAATTTCACAAGTTTGGTAGAGGGCTCAATGCTGATTACAATCCTGCCCCCAGTTTGGCTGCCTGATGCCCACGAGTGAAGAAGATTTTTAAAGATTGCATTTCTTTAAAAGGTTTTAGTCCCACCTCTTATGTCCCGGGGAAGGGGAGGGGGAATCATGAAATTCACAATTTTTTGCCCCATCTCTCATGTCGGGAAGGAGGGGACGAAGATCATGAAATTCACAATTTTTTCACTCTTCTCACCCATACAATGCTTTTTGCATAAATTGGTTGTAATTGGATGAGCTGTTAAAGAGAATATTTCAAAATGTTCAAAAGGTAACCCATGACAGACGGCTGAAATATTATATTGTTCATGAGAGAAGCCTTATAAATAATCACAGGCACCTGAAGTTTTATCAGTAAGTATCTAAATTAGCCATATATCGAAACATTCTACCCCCCTCTATTTGTAAATACACAAGGTATCCAACGCCAGTTTGACCCCCTGTTCGATTCAGGCTTCTATTTAACACTTAAATCAGAAATGCCTACTTGCCCGGGTTCGATTCTCGATCGCGGCGCCGTGTCATACTTAAGACGTAAACAAAGGTAGTGACAGTTCCTTCGCCAAGCGCTCGGCACTAGAAGTGAAAGTCACGGGTCTTTCGGATATGACCTTAAAAACGTAGGTCCCGTGTCACGGTAAGCGTTGGCACGATAAAGAACCCTCACTGCTCAATGGCCCTGAGTGCCGAGTATAGGTCTAAATTTGAAGCCCTTCGCCGGCATCGGTGACGTTTCCATATGAGTGAAAAATTCTCAAGAGGGACGTTAAACAATATACAATCAATCAATCCTACTGGTTTTCGTGTAGCATTGGATTTGAACATATTTCTCGCTATATATTTCTTTTAAAGTTTAAATCTAACGCGTTGATAATGTTATCAGCTTAACTTCATGCTGACTTCGAATTTCGTCACAGGGCCTGATCGCCATCAGATGATGTCACGGAAATTTAATCCCGACACCAAATGCTCCTATATATTTTTTTAATACAACAATTATAAATTCATACTTGGATATTTTACTTGAAAAAGACACTAATGGTAATCTAACAACCAAGCTATATGACAAACGTGATGACTTTAACTTTTGCTATCGTCAACTTCCCTTACTTATGCAGCAATATACCTTCATCACCTGCATACGGAGTATTTATATCTGAGTTGATTCGATACGCAAGAGCATGCTCTACGTACGAACAATATCTTAAACGAGGTAAATTGTTGACAAACAAGTTGATTAAATAAGAATATCAACAGTCTCGTTTGAAGTCATCATTTGTAAATTCTATGGTCGATACAATGACCTTGTCAGCAAATACAATTTATCATGCTGACTGACGTTTTTTAAGTAGGTTTTTCATACTAATTGTTAGTCCATTATTATTTATACACTGAGTTGGCCCAGTTATTGCTTACAGGAATGCAAATGGTGAGCAGCGCCAATCATCAGTGATTGGATTTGCAGACAGAACAATGGCAGTGAAAGGAGTACTCTACGACAGCACCAAACTTGACGTCGTAAAACTTGGACACACAGTTATGCTGCTCAATGTTATAATTAAAAATGAAACTGTCAAGTCTTTGGTGATAACAAACAGGAGCAAAGTCTTAAAAACTGGACCTCTGGATGTTCCAGAATCCCTGGTAACACAGGGGAAGGAAATGCCATTTCCACCTCCTGCTGCGGAGGTGAGCATAAAGACTGCCAAAAGTTCCCCAACAAAAACCCTTGTCACCCTCAGGGGACAAGTTGTTTCAGTGAGTATTTTTTAAACATAGATTTTAGTTTCCTTACATATTAGTAAAGTTCTATATTATTCATTATTTTAGTTGATGACTCCAAAAAAATCCCGAAATATATGTAGAACATGACAAAGCAATTTTTTGTATGATCTTCAATGCCACAACACTGTGTATTAAATAATGCATTAGAAACCAAATTATTAGGATCATAAGATTAATTATTACCTGGTTCTTTAACAAGAGGAGATGCAAAGGTCAGTCGGTGTCAATGGTTAGGAGACAAGTGTAAGGACTATTAAAGTGAAATACATTACAGAAACATGCAAGGTGCCATTATAGCGTGACTTAACAAAGACGAACGCTCTGTTGGAAGTCACTATTTCTCATGAATATTTATGCATTTAAATAATTACTTACTCCTGTGAGGCTAGAAAGAGATCAAGCGATGTGAGATAATCACAGGATTGAAACCACAACTCAACAAAACATCAAAACTTTGAAGTCCCCTTATATTCAAATAATCTTGTTATTAAGAGGCCGTGTCAGTAACCATTGAGCTTTACATGGAAAGTCAAAAATTTTGAATTGGGCAAAAACCACCTTAAAATATTTGAACAACAACAAAAATCACATTTAAGACAAATTTTACAAATTTATTCATCTTCATTGGTTTCCATGGCAACAAATGTGATTTGCCTAGTAAATTCTCAATGATACATTGTAAAATAATACAAATTTAGACATATTCAAATGCAGAGGGGTAACAATTGGAAAGTCTAAATTTGTTTTTTGATACTGAAATAATGAAAGATGCATCAGCGACAAAATAAGAAATAACATAAGTCGACGAAGTAAACTTTCCGACAAAAATGCGGGAAACGTCGTGGAACTCAATAAGAAAGAGTAATGTGCTCATAAATTTTCTTTTCACATGGACATAACTGCAGGCATACATTACAACATGTGCATTTCAAACAATTTAAGAGCAAGTTTTTGTACAGGTTTCATGCTAGTCACTGGTTGATGGTACTGTTCTTTCAATAATTCCTTTATCTTTAAGTTTCAAAATTTCTTTCCTAATATGTGGGTGTTGACTTTTTTTTCCGGCATTGACTTCATTCTCATGGTTACATTTTGTATTGCTCCTTTTGTATACATAGCACACAGCAAAACGATCTCGACCATCCCTAACACAACGGCCAATAAGAGAGCGATAATGGTGCCGGACTTTAAAGTCATCATTTCGTAAATTCTATGGTCGATACAATGACCTTGTCAGCAAATACAATTTATCATTGAATGAAATGCTGACTGACGTTTTTCATACCAATTGTTAGTCCATTATTTATACACTGAATTGACTACGGATTTTTTTCTCATTATTTCCTGATTATGACAATGAGCACACGGCGGGTGTGACCGGTCAGCAGGGGATGCTCACTCCTCCATGGCACCTGATCCCACCTCTGATGTTTCGGAGGTCCGTGTTTGCTCTGCTCTTGTTTTGTATATTTGTTTAATGGACGTTGAGATTGAATACTGTTCGTTATTTCCATATCCTTATTTAATAGTATTAAATAAAATATAAATTAAAATTCAGAAAATCCCCCATCTTTTTCAATATAAACAATTTGAGGTTTATAATGATTAATAAATGCTTGTCATACCTTTTCCAATACTCTTCTCTTTTCCAGAAATCCCAGTTTGACTTTTTTTTAGTTTTGGAGGAAGGGGAGGAGAGGAAGTATACAGCACACGCTGGATCAACCTTTTCCCGAACATTAACACCTCTGATGAACATGAGGACGGGAAGTATAATTGTCGTGTCATCTGATGTTGCCTTCTCAAGGAAAAGGGAGGATATATTTAAAGTGCCATCAGAGGCAGTAATTACCACACACTTTAACCATCAAATTGAGAGAGGGACCGTAGTGAGTACCTGTCCACAATTTGTAAATCTTTTTTATAAATGTTGTAACTGGAAACCCTACAAAACACATAACCAATTACAAAAACATTTTAAAATATAATAAATCATGAGGAAAAAGCAGTCCCAAAGCATACTTATAAAATCTGCTCTAAACAGCTCTTATATATTGGAATGGAATAGTTGGTGAACCCTAATCAGGGTTCGAAATTAACTTTTTTTAGCACTAGTCAACACAGACTAGTGACTTCTAGCTTCCACTAGTCCGCAACCTATTCCACTAGTCTGCCCTATATTATGTTAAGAGAATAATACAAATCTTAAAATTTTATCAATTAATTCAATGAAATATGTGTCCACACATCAGTTGGAAGCATGTGGTGAAAAGAAAGAGGGTTTTGTTTCAGAAATCTCCCTCTTATGGTCACATTTTTGTTAGGTAATTTTTTGTATATTGATCACAATGTCGAAAACGCTATATCGCAGTTGTGTTTCTCGTTTGTTTTCAAATATCTAAGAAACTAAGAAATAAAATGAATAAAATTTGAACTTGATTCAGGACATATCTGGATTTACACTAGTCCGTACGGACTAGTACTTTACAAAATCTGCTAGTCCGACACAATTTTTACCAATCTTGGACTTGCGGACATGAGTTAATTTTGAACCCTGCTGAGCATGATTTCACTTGAGTTTTATATTTCCTGTCTTTATTGT